TCCGAGCGTAAAATATTTTGCCTTGTGGCAATGCATATTTTCGTTCTCTTCATCTTTGTATGTGATGTGTCTTCTGTGATTAATATGATTAATAAAACATCATTTATTGTCAATAAACTTAAAAAAAAATTATCTTGTCTTTTGAAGGCTTTGCTGAAGGATCTCTCTGTCCTCATTTGTAACTCCCGCAGTAAGGTGCGCCCGCTGGTGTGCGCCAAAGCTTATACGCTTTGCAAGTGAACTCAATGGCGTAGCTTGCGCGTGAGAACGTCAAAACAACATCTCTGAACAGAGTGAGGAGGAAAAAGGTCCTCGCTAATAAATGAGAAAAACAGAAAACGCGCTGGCAAAGCAACCGAGCACGCGCTATTTTTTTTTTTTTTCTATTTTAGCTGAGAGGATACAAATGAGTTTATTTCGTCTTTAGTCACATGTACGGAGGCGTGTAAATAGCAGACGTCGCATGTGCACGGTCTCAGGTAGTATTCGACGTTTATAAAATGTGTATGAAGTAAACCAAGCTGCTGGTTCGGCAAATCGATCAGTAAAGCTTAAAATTACCGAAAAGTCAGGGTTTTGCACGCGATGTGGTGTATTTTGTTTGCCTAGCTCTAGTGATGCCGAGTCTGCAAATGCACTTCGTTCAAGATACTGAAATGTTTTAGCAGAGCGTACGCTATGGATTGCGAGCCTTGCGTGCGCGTGCCGAACCCTTGCTCAAAGCGACGGCACGAGCTCCCGCTAGCAACGCAGTCCTTGCCTGCGAAACTCTATATTTACACTCAGGGAGAGGTGCATATTCTATCTCTGCCTGCTCTCAGCTCTTGCTGTAATAAATGGGTAAACAAAGTATGACGAAAATAATCCCTGGAAAAGGGAAACAAGAGGTACAAAAAAAAACACAAATCTCCAAACACAGTTAGATGAGCGACCGAAAAAATCAAATTTTTTTCGGCCGCTCACCAGCTACCTAGTTTTGTTTGGAGACTTGTCTTTGTCTTTTGCACCTTTGTATTCCCTTCTCCAGGGATTATTTTCATAATTTCTGTCCAGCTCGCTGCACCTTTGCATTTAATTGCATTATAATTAAAAAAAACAAAAAAACATATCATTTTGCAGTGCACGCTGATGTCCCGAAATATTTAAGACTACATTGGGATTTCTTTTCTTAGTCGTCTGCGTTCGGTGGAATTGGAGAAAGCTTGTTTTCACAACCGAGCGATTTGATCTCTGCTTGCGTTACTATATTTGCCCAATCGAGACATCTTCCCGTCCTTTATAACTTAAATAAAGGAGGACAAACACTAGTTTCTTCACGTTAGAAAACGAAACTATCTTCATATTTGAAAAAAATAATTATCAGGTCCGCCGTATACAATAGCAAACAAGTAGCGCCCGGCACGCTGGCAAGCGCCTTCTAGGGCTCGCTCACACGTAGGCGCCCGCCTTGTGGGCGTCGTGCAGACATTGCGGCGGGGGCGTGGCGCGGAAAGAAGGCAAGATTGCCCTCCATGGAAAGGAAAAAATGCGGGGAGAGAAGGCATTGCGCTACCTTTCAATATATGAGGACCTTAGGAGAACCTAAAGCCCCTTCATGTTGCAAAAGTAGCGCAAGGTGCGTCGGTGCACGAGGCACGTGCAACGCGCAGCCCTCGAGAAGATCATGGCGGCACAGCGCAGCACTGAGCTAGATTTCACACGCCATGTTCTTCCCAGAAGTGGCGCGGGGCACGTGTCTCGAGCATGTCCACAACACTAAATGGCGCCACTTTTACCAGGGTAGAGGGGCTAAGTTTAGAGGAACCTGGTGGTCAGGGCGCAGCTTTTGCAGCGGCGCGGGCCGAAAACATGGTTTTCAAACCCGACAAGGAAAGAAGTGGTAGCGCGAGGAACGCGAAGAGTACGAGTGGACATTCCATCGCTCGGGAGAAGTGTGTTTCGGCGTCTCGCCGCAGCGGGCCGCCCGTCACGTAGCTCTCCTTTCATTCGTTGTCTGCCGCTCTACCTATTCAATTCCGGCGGCCGCGTCTCGTGGCGATCTTCCAGGCTTTGTCAGTACAGAGGAGGCTATGGCCACATCCGTGCAATCACGTGCAGCGTGCGCGGGAACGTAGCTTTGACAAGCTTGCAATTGCATAGGCGTGCCCGCACGCGCATAAGTATGGTGGCGACCAGTCACTCAGCTTGTAATCGTCAGTAGTTGCGTGTGCACATCGCAGAAAACTCGCAGCCAGAATAAACTCGTACGTGTTGTGGTTCCGGTGCGTACCGCCAATGTTCATGACAGCCAGGCGCATGTAATGGCTATAGACAGGGCGCGTGCTTTGCACAAGATACATGAGTTCTGGAACTTTGTGTGCAAATTACTACGCACCAACAAGGACCCGATTATCCCCCGACACATTATGAGAAGCTTGTCATAAGCCGACCGAGGACGCAGAACTTGCGTCCACATCGCAAACTGCATTGGGTACCATATTTTGGAACCACTATAGTATGACCACTCGGGAATGTCTACATATTTTGATAATCACAACGCTCTTTAAACTAGAACTGTAATGGGCGCCTCTTATTTGTGTCTCATCGAAATGTCTCTTGGAAACTCATGATTCTGGCTGATGAAAGTAACGCCCTACCATGCATGTGTAAGATTGATGAATATACAATTTGTAACACTCAAACACATAAACGTTTCACTGTGTTTTATCTGTAGTACTTTTCGTTTAGATTTGGTGACGACAAACAGTAAAATAATGTCATTAGGTTAACTTGTGAAATCATTCATTTGTTCTGGTTGCCGCCCTTTCATATTATAATATGGAATATCAGTATTGTTACAAAGATATGCGGCCGGCAGCAACTGACAAAGACATGCTCCCTCGATGAAATCGAAACATTTCATGAAAACCTAGCTCTGCGCGCTGGATGTAACGCGCGATGGTCAGAAGCAAAACTACCCCAGCATCGTCGTCTTCGCTACAATATTTATTTTATTTTCCAAGTTATAACGTAGTTCACGTAGGGGTTTATAAAATTTCACTTTCTTTCCTAGATCTGTATTTGGTCAACTTTTACTGTTTTTTTTTTTTTTGCCTCCCCGGCAACCGCTTCCCGACGTAACGCACATTAATGACAACCGACGTTAATTTTTGATTAGGACACGAATGTGAACTTCCTCGCCACTATATGCATATACATTGTCCAACAATGAGTAAAAAATAACCGTGCCACACTGAGTACTAAGGGCAAATAAAATATAATTCGAATGAACTCATGAATCGCCATATTGTTTTAGTTAAATAAAATTATTTAGTTAAGCGCAATACATTGCTGTGCCAGCTGTGCACCGAATTTATTGAAACTCCAACATACGTCGTTTTTTTTTTTTTTTGTTGAAGTTTTATGACTTTTAGCCACATTTAAATTGCAGATACCACCACATAACTTTAAGATAATGAGGAAATTGTGAGGGCGCAGGCTAGCTGGTGTAATTTGAGGTTAGCTGTAAACCCGAGACTGAGGATAGGGGCAGGGAAAGAAAACAGAACGACACGTACCTGTCTTTCTGTGCTTTCGTACCTTGTCCCTATTTCAAGTTTTGGGTTTACAACTATGCCTAAATTTCAGAAGCGTACGTAGATGTTTCATGAATTTATAGCTCCCTTTATTAATGGTATTTTTGACCATGTTGAAATGAAAATTACAATATTCCATATAATAATAACCTGACTTGCAAACAAGGGTCCAGCGAGGTATACGTAGTAAAATGATGGGCCATTTTCGGCTACCTCCTGCTTATAAAATAAAATGAGCTGGTTACAAATACACTGCAAACTGGAGTGTTCTTCCTTTTTCTTCGAATGAGCGTACATTTTTCATTTTTCAGGGACAATATTTTATATACTTCTTTCTGGAGTAATTAACGCCTTGATCATTTTCTTTTATTTTACAGGGTAAGCTTTTTATCTAGAAGAAAATTCCGCCAAGGGTTATTTTACGAGGCAAGTATATCCAAGGAAAAAAGTCTGGTTAGCAAAAAATATATTGCACACGTAATGCTGAAACTTTTTGAAGAGATTACCAAATTAATTAAAACAGAAACAGATTGGTTGGGGCACGAAACTATGCTGATTATACGCGCGATTCAACCAGGTGAGATCGCATAACAGAAAATTAGCAGGTCATAAAATATTTTTTAAGTGATAGTATAATATGCTACGTTTATAACGCTTAAAGTTCATGCACAAACAGCAGTCGAGACTACGTGCAGTATAGAAATAATGGCAGGTTTTCCTCAATGGTAACGATACCTCGAGTCAGGATATCCGATAACAGTACAAAATGGATGCACAAAAGGGCTGACAGAAAAACCGTTATCTTTATTAGCGACTTGCGCGACCAAAAGCATCGCTGCGGTCGCAATTCGCAATTTGCCGAACGCTCACTGTGACGTCTCTATCTGGATTAATTTGTCTTTTATCGAAGGAAACCAGCGCAATGTCAGAATGACAGCTGTGGTTTGAAACGATGTTGGTTTGAAAAAACGAGGACTCCAAGATTCCATTCTTAATTTTACACATACAATCGAACTTGTTGTTAGCAACTGATATTAAGTAGCCGAATATTGGAACTCAATACGTTATGGCGAGGTAAATCCTGGTAGTGACGCCACGAACGGAAACCACGAGAGGGAGCTACCGAAATATTTAGGCGAAAATATGACATATCGATCCGATCTACTAAAATTTCATACTTTTTTTTTTGCTCGCAGGAGAGACTATTTTTTTTATCTGTGTTTTTTTAAGTTGACGCGTTGGTCAGCCTCAGTGCTTACAAAAGGTAACAGAAAAAATCTTCGAATAATGACAGAAGCATTAAAAAAGAGCGAATTGGCTACGATATAATCTGGAGCATGAAGACTACAATATTGGGACTGCTCAGTGCTGCCCGCACTGGCATATTTTAGTGTCTGAATGATGAAGCTGTTTTATTTCCCTTACCCGTAAGTTTTTCGGCTGGCCTCAGGGTTGCCACAATAAAGTTTGTGGGCTCCTTGTGACCCTTGCTGTTGATGGAGTAGACCTGCACACTGAAGGTGCTTCCTCCGGGAAGTCCCAAGAAGGTGAAAGACGGCAAGCCGTGAGAAGAGCCGTTGGCAACAAGGCGCCGGCCGGAGTCGACGTCCCGCAGCTGAGCCATAAAGGAGACCGGAGAGACGCCACCGTCCCACGAGCCTTCGGAACACTCAAAGGACACGGAATCCTCCGTTCCATTTATCTGGTTACAGTTCGTCACTGGATCCGGTGGACCTGCATGCGAGACACAAGTCATTCATTTTAAACCACGCTCTCCTGCCGCAACATCTGAAGAACCAAATTTGCTCGAAGAGTCGTAAGCGCTACATATCCATTGCAATCGCAACTGGAGCTTGAATGAAATTGTGAATCACGGTATTTCGAAGCAAGTAAGCTTCGCGGTGTCATTTTCGCTGGATCCTTGGCAGTTTTATTATATTTGTATATCATTATTGGATGATCAATTTAGGTATATCGCATTTTCCCCATATTATAAACTTCTAAAAGCCATGTAAGAGCCGACATGATTTAGCATAATGAAAACACTCCTTGCAGTTTTCGACATATAATTCTACGTCTCCATCCAACACCATGCTTGCTAGCCAGATACATAAACGAGGACAGTCTCTTTGAATAACTTTTGATGGTCTCACGGCTCGACAGAGACTATCTGGAATATAGAAATCGAGGCTTCCCAACGGTCATTGAGTTAATGCATACGCCCAACTGTTGTCTTATAATCCGTAATTTGCGAACGGGGGAAGACCTGCTGCGTGGTTGACATAATAGTTGGGTGTACAATAGATAGTGAAGGCTACCATATAATCATAGTATATCGGCCTGCGTATAGTTTAAGTTAACTTGGTTAAAATAAAGAAAATAAACACAGCCGAACTAACAAAGTTCGACAACATTGGCGCAGGACTCCCAGTTAATGCTTTGTGTCAATGTTATATGTCGCCAATTATTTAATATCATTCTTTTCAACAAAAAACCGCTTGCAACCAAAAGAACAGTAAAGTCGAATACCTTCTGGAAAAACAAAGCAACGACTTATCCCTCATACCAGGGGGACGTAGCGTGTTTGGGTGGTGTTCATACCTTCTCCGGAGTGATTTGTTACTGCCCTTGTTGCCCCTTCTTCCTATTAGAGTTTAGTAAGTTCACAATCCCCTCTTTTCCCCTGTGTTTAGAGAACAATATATTCTCCCATGGATGCATCGATGATTATTAGCGATAGTAAAATCACAACTCCATCGCCATGGTTCCACACTATTGCCCGCATTTACGTCCGATTTGTATCTTAAATGAGTTTCTGGGCAGGAACACACCGTAATGCCTGGAAAGGGTACGCATACTTCATCGTGTTCTGCCGCGGTACAGAGAAGGCGGCGAGAACTTCCTGCGAGTTGGACTGAAGAGAACGCGAATTCCCGGACACTAAGCGCAGTGACCGTGAGTAATGCTCTGCCAACGTGATGGATGACGGCGTTTCGGGGCTCTGGAATCAGCTTTGCCTCCGGAGAGTATACATAAATGTTTTCACTGCAATAGGGGAGAACACTTTGCTTTTTCGCGCGTCCCAAAACTGGAGCGCATCTAGTGAGAAACGCCTCAACACCGGAGCCTCGGAGACTCGCTTTTCTTGCGACACTCCCTCCGACGATCTGACGCCGGCGCTGGCGCACGTCATCTCCAGAGCGGAGACTGATGAAGTGATTCACTCGAGAGAATTTTTCTGCCTCGCATCTTGCCTTTCAGGAACATCGTTTTCATACACATGCATTGTTCGGAACTGGCAACATCAAGCCAGCGTTGGGTCGCTATTTCTTTCTCACAACCTCTCAAGGTTCACAAAAACATTTTTATTGTGCCGATGTTATGACTCATCGCCAACTCATTTAAAATATAATACTAGAAACTTCCACCACAATTCTGACTACCTGTCGGTTAGTAAAAGTAGCTGTAATTCAAACAGAGCCTACCGTAAGAATCATGCCACCACCTGAAATTTCAATAGAGGTCTTAGCTGTAGAAGTTATTTTTTTACAAAATAAATGTAATAATTGTGCAGTTCGTATTTGCACTGCACAAAAGCAGGCCTCCGGCGCGATCACGGTGCGCTCATGTATCACTTCTATGTGAGGCATGTGAAGGCTTTCATGGTACCCGTCCTACTGCCAGGCACGTAGCCAGGAGGGGGGGGGGGGGGCATAAGGCCCGCCCCCCCTATTCCTGATATCTTACATATTGGTGGGGCCTCCTCTCCCCCCTCCCCCTCATACAGAATTTTGTCATGGGCGGCCCCTCCCCTCCCCTCCCCCCCCCCCCCCCCCCCCGGAACAAAATTCTGACTACGTGCCGGCCTACTGTACTGACTAAATTGCTTCTAGGGGAAGTTTAAGAAGAATTGCCAGACCACAAAGGCATATTGGACTTTAGGTGTATAATCGTGCAGAATATTGTGCGTTGGTTTTGCATTTAATGAAATCTTTATTCTTATCAACCATGTAGTATCATTCCTTTAAGATCACAGACAAAGTCGCGATCGCCTTGAAACTCTTCTCAGTAGTGGTTAAGAAATTCAAAACGCAAATGTATAGACAGCGTAAAGTCAGTCTACCGGATAGTATGGCGACAGCCGGGAGCTCGGCATTTAATAAATTAGGTAAATAGAGTGCACGTTATTGCCTGCTGAATGTCCAGTTAATTGCACGAAGATGATGCACAACCGAACGCTGATACCATGTTCATCAAAACTAAAATGGGGTGGGGTACGAGGATTGAACCAAATGCTCCCAAGAACTACCGCATCCGCATTTGGTAGTGTATGGCTCGTACATCCTTGTATAGTTCTATGCGTCTTAGTTAAGCCCCCTATAAAGAATTCTCCAAAAATCGCCTGCGCGCTGACATTTTTCTCCGTTGGTCTGCGGTACCCCTTCCGAGCTTTCGCTGTCCTTTGAGCGCCATATCAGCTCAGTGACTCGGCATTTTTTTTTTCGCCCGGCTGAAAAGCGACGGAAAGGTGCAGATACCATCACGCGTCTCTGACGTCACGTCGCAGAGGTGGCGTTGCTGTCGCCACGGCAGATTCGCAGAGCTTCAACTCAGGTGATTACTGTTTCTGCGCATGCGCAGTGCCCACACCTTGTGTGGGCCAGTGCGGTCGAACCGAGGCTTGTTTGCAAACAGTGGTTCGTCCCATACCGGTGCATGTTAAATTAGTCCGTAAATTATGCATGTTATCAATTTACGCAACTTTTTTTATGATAACATAAATGTATTTTAGGACAAACAAAAAGTTGTACCTAGAAATATTACAGACACACCGGCTCGCCTGCACTTTAACCGTTTTTCACTAATATAACCTCAAGATAAATAGTGCTCTCGGTAAACTACCCCAATGAAAAAAAAAATTGAACTTTTTTTTAATACACATATTTCAACTTTTCTAAACAATATAATTAATATATCAGGTATATACAAGTTATTATATGACATGTGTTGTTGCTGTTGTTTTGTTTTGCATACATAATGTACACATTAATGTAATTTTGTGTGTTTCACAAGGTAATTTGTACTCTCCGTCTAGTGCAACTTCCACGCCATCACCAGCTAGTGCAGGGTCGTTTGTGAGTCCCAATAGCTTAATGGGCCGAAGGTCGGAGAGTACCCACCCGCTGGGACGACAGTGAAGTTGCAAGGCCTAAGCTGCTTTCCAACTTCGTTGCTTCCCCAGCAGAGCAGGAAGCCGAAGTCATCTTCCCCGTTCGGAGAGTACACGGCGGTGCTGTGCGTTAGGGCGTTGCTGTAGCTTGCCAGGGTGAGTCGCTTCCCGCTCGACGAGCTGTTGAAGCGCCAGTGGAAAGTGACGTCTGCCGGGTCGGCCTCCAGCTCGCAGCGGACCGAGACAGACTCTAGCCGAGACACTCCGTACAGGCGTTTTTGGCCAGGCTTGCAAACCGGAGCGACTGGATGGCGGAGGCAAAAAGGAGAAGAAGAAAGTTTGACATTGAAGAAAGTCACATGTCTGTCCGCATTTAAAAACATAAAAGCGTATGCCAACTTGTGTCGAGACCTAAATGAAAAAAAAAAAAAAATCTGGTGAAGGATACGCGTTTGTAACCTACACTGTATTGCTCACAGTCCTATAAAGCAGGTCGAGATATTTTTGCGGTGACCCGAACTGGTTAATAAATAAAAAAAAATGGTTATATGAATTTTTATTAAAATATTATTTAGTTCAAAAATCTTTTCCACGCATAAGTTGTACAGCGTGTTAAGAAGCATAACATTATGGTGATCTTATCAAGGAGCCACTTTGTGTCACATTTTTTGGGCTATAAAGAAAACACGGGAGATGAAAAAATATTAGGTAGCTAAAGGCACTAACCTCGCATATCGCTAGCAAGTAGTCACTATAATATATATTTTTTAAACATTGCGCTACATTTTTTTTTATTGTAAAAAAGATTGACGCATGAAGGCAACCTTTCTGGAAACAACTCGATCGGATGCTTCTCAGCACACACTGCGAACTTCAAAGTGGAAGATCGGTGCAAAAGTTAATATTTAAAAGCAGCTGTGTAATCTGGGTTATTAATCAGTTTGGCACGTCGTAAAACTATATTGACTTGCTCAACAAAACTGTGAAAAGTACTGCCATGACTCAGCATGCGTAGCGTGAAACGGCTTTTTGCGGTTTTGGCACAAGTTAGCTGAATTTATTTGTCCATAAATATATCCCAACTTCGGTATTCATATAGTATCAGGCATATATATGTTATTATAGAATCTTGAACATCTTCTGACAGACGTTTGCAAGGACGGTCTCTGGTCGGCGCCATCTTGCTGATGGTGTGGGTAGACCAATTACTAAGGCCGTGACGCCTCAGTAATTGGTAATTGGCGTAGACCAATTACTGAGGCTGACGCCTTAGCAATGCTCGACTATCAGACGATCTACCCACACCAGCAGCAAGATGCGACGCCCAGAGGGCCGTACTAGCAAACGATTATACTGTATACGGTATACACGGAATCAGCTATGTTACGTAACGGCGCGCTGGAGGCGCGTTGGGCGCACTTCCGGTTTATGACTGTGGGCGAAAATCACCACGCGGGACGTGCATTCCTCTGCTGTTTTGCAAGAACCCAGACAAAAACCGGCCTTCTCGCCAAAACGCCGCAACCGGGCCTGTACGAAAAAGTGAAAGCCGTTTACAACTCCCCTGTAACACCGAATTAGAGCGCAGCTCTTGAGGAGGAAGAGGGAAGGGTACTGGGGGGGTGGAGTGACCTGAAGGGGGGTCACGTGATCTTGGGGGTCACGTGACGATGCCGATGATGTCATCAGTGACGTCAGTGATGACGTCATCCGTGATGATGACGATGACGATGCGGATGCCCGTGACGTCATCAGTGACGTCACTGATTACGTCATCAGTGATGATGACGATGACAATGCGGATGCCGGTGAGGTCATCAGTGACGTCACTGATGACGTCATCAGTGACGATGACGATGCGGACTCCAATGACGTCATCAGCGATGATGACGATGACGATGCGGATGTCGGTGACGTCATCAGTGACGTCACTGATGACGTAATCCGTGATGATGACGATGCGGATGCCGGTGACGTCATCAGTGACGTAACTGATGACGTCATCAGTAATGATGACGATGACGATGCGGATGCCGGTGAGGTCATCAGTGACGTCACTGATGACGTCATCAGTGACGATGACGATGCGGATGCCAGTGACGTCATCAGTGACGATGACGTCATCTGGGAGGTCACGTGACCTCGGCGGGGGGGGGGGGAGTCACGTGACCTCGGGGGGGGGGGGGGGTCACGTGACTTTGGGTGTCACGTGACCCTGGGGGTCACGTGACCCTGTGGGAGGGGTCACGTGACCTCTGGGGGTCACGTCACCTTGGGGTGACCTTGGGGGCCATGTGACCTTGGGATGACCTTGGGGTGACCTTGGTTACGCCGACGCCGACGCTGCTCAAGCCGGGAACGGGCCCCTAAGAGCTGCGCTCTAAAAAGTTGATAAAGGTTTGAAGGTCAGTTTTTTATGTTTTCTGCCTCCTAGGTTTGTCCGAGAACCTAAATAGGGGCCGTGGAAAGGGAAAATCAGACGCTGTTGGACCACCATTACTTGTGCGGGAAGCACTTGGGGTTGAATTGACGGGTGGTTGTGGTCTTCAGATTCATTCGTTTTGTAGCGTGAGCTACACTGGCCGAGGTTGACCAGTTTCGCGTGGCTCACATAATGAGCCGTGCTCCGTGCTGCGCAAGCGCGAGGAGCAGTGACGTCACATGGCGCACAGCTGGCGGGGCGGAGCCGCCGTCGCCGCGGGCTCCGCCACCACAGCGCGCGCCTCGCCAGTCTGCGCAAGCGCAAGGAGCAGTGACGTCAGACGGCAGAGAGCTGGCGTGTCGGAGCCGCCGCCACCGCGGGCTCCGTTGCCACCGCGCGCGCCTCGCCGGTCTTCGCATTCCAGAGGAGTGACGTCATAGCCGCGGCAGACGCACTGTCGCCGCCGCGTGCCCAGCTGTGTGCCTCCGTTGCGCAGTAGCCAAGTCTGACGCTGCACCGGAGCTGCTTGATAGCCCCTCTCATTTTGTGCGCATAAGCTCACGGTACGTATATCCTGGCATAGCCGAGCTAAGCGACCGCAATTTTTTGTTCTAACGTGAAGACGGAAAAACCGCCAAGTTTACGGACCACCTGCGGACTGCGTTCAGTGCATCTTCAAGTTCAAACGGCGGCCTGATCGTTCGAACTGTCGTCTGCTCGTTCAAACGACAGTTGTCTGTAGACCAAAGTTTGACCCGGGGATTGCAATAAAAAGTAATTGCAGGCCTAAAAATACTTTTAAGTTTTAAAGGTTGGCTGAGGTAAATAAGCTCTGTGTAAACAGTAGATACAAGGAGATGTTTGTAATTGTTACCAGCGGCCATCATCGACTTGTTATGCCTGATTAAGTTGGCTTGATTCTGCTCCATATTTTCAGTTTCGACGTCGACCATCTCAGCTACAATTCACTCTTCTGCAGCCCCAGTGACGTCATGACTGAAAATAGCGAGCAGAATCTCATCATCCGAATCTGGTTTTACGGATCTGTTTTATTACGACGTCGAGCGTACCGAGCGCAGCGTAGCGCAGCGTAGCGCAGCGTAGCGCAGAACGCGCCTTTGATTGGCCAGCAAGCAGCAGCTTGAGTTCTGCTACCAATCAGCATCTGTGTACGCTGGGCTACGCCGCGTTTGGTACACTCGACGACGGAGTATAACAGAACCTTTAACGTCCATTCTGTGACGTCCACGAGGAATGAATCGCCATATGTCATATTATTCATGCAAAATGTTGGGGTCTAACGATTCTCGTTAATTTCGCCGAGGCCTCTAAAGTAGACAGGCATTGCTAGAAGGACGTATAAAATCAACAATTCCAAAGCGAAAAAGAGCACGGGGCCTCACACCGACGCCGAAAACATCGCATTCCTATAGTCACTCTATGGGTGACGGCGAGCTTTCTGTCCACACTCCGTCGCGAGTGCACGGCGCCGGTGGCGTCCGCTAGGTGCGCTCCAGTTTGTTTTTAAAAATGAGCTGGTCTATATACATATAAGTTCACATATGTATATTCAACACGTTCATATTTAATTTTTCACTATGAATGCGCCCTTGAAAAAGTTTAGAATTGTGCATGAGCATTGTACTAATCGTGGCTAACTGTACTATGGCTTGCGAGATGGACGGTTGGACAAAAAGAGCCTTGCGCACCTACTGTTTCGGGGGCAATAAGAGAACTGTTTCGTTTCCCGTGTCCGTTGCTTAGCGCTCAAATCGAACTGGGAGCTATGTTGTCTGCCCGTGATTTTAATGTCTAGCACCAGCTTTCGCGCGCGTGTGTGTTCACTGTTGCCCAGTCACTTTCATATATATATATATATATATATTATACCATTTTTATACTTTCACGAAGAAAACAAACACAGTAAAATATACCTTTGTTTGAACTTTTACTCCTCTATGAATGAGGCCGATTTAATTGTTCAGTTATTATTGAACAAAATAAATAATTCTACGAAGCTAACTATATTCATACTATTTCCTTGGCTTCGCTTTACAAGTTATATTTTGACCTGATTTCAACGCTTCCAAAACATCCACAAGTGTAAATGTCATATTAAATTTCTGTAAAATATCCACTTTTTGTACCAGCGAGTGCTGCCTTGAGGCGTAGTTGAAGAATGTTCCTTAAAAGATTTTTGCATAAAAAAAAAATCCGTTTTAGTCTCGATGTCCCTTTTTTTATAAGACCTTAGTTGCATATTGATGGAGGACAAAATACAATATTCATTAGCATAGGTACCTCTACGGAGGGCTTTTACGTAGGAGTTCAAGTTGTTAATTTTTTATATACCGCCGTACTACGCTTAAAATGTATACAAACCAATAGTGTATTTCAACATAACATCTGCAGCATATCTCCGTCTCCAATGCAATTTCGCAGCCTTCCGTGGTGCTTTGGCTAGGGGTATGCCGAAGTGTAAATGATAGTAGAAGGCTTGCACTGGAGCGGGACTTTTCTTTCAGATCAGGTGGTTAATTGATCTGTGGTTAATTAGTTTGCGTATGTTCGTTTAATTATATATATATACATATATATGTACGTATATATGCACTATATATTGCAGTGTCAGAAGAGACTCACCGGCCTAAAAATAAATTAATCCCTTAGCAGGTGCCGTATGAAGAAGAAAGGAACTAAAGGCGGAAGTAGCTCGTCAAGTAAAATGCCATTCTACGCCGACGGAATGGTATATTTTCTTACATTTGATTCTGAGAAGAAATATGTTGCTGACTCCGTGCCCTTCGCGGTTCACAGCTGAGCAGGTGTAGCGTCCTCTTCTGGTGCGGCGCACTTTCTGGAGCACGAGCGACTGGTTGCTGATGATCACACCAGTAGTCATGTTGGTGGTCACTTCGTGGTCCTCAAAGAACCAGGTGACCTCCGTAGCAGGAGGACTTGCATCCACGAGGCACTCCAGGTACACATCTCTTCCTTCTCGAATATCATGCTCCTTGAGATTCTGGCCAAGCTGTAACTCAACACGGGGCTTGTCTGCCAACAAGAACACAAATATACACATGCGTGCTTGCTTATGCGTCGCGACTATGTATAGGGCACCTTTATTGGTCAGAGTATCTCTCTATAATATTGAGATACGAGCTATATTTTATTTCACGTGATAAAATTGTATATTCCTTACGCTTTCAAACCATGAAATTGCATTGCAAGCATGGTAAGATAAAGCGTTGAGCAAGGTATAGCAGTTAATTCTCTTCACATTATTTCTGTATCTTACATTTTTATACCCGTGTCTTACGATCGGTAATATTCTGTGTTCACCTTATTTTTTTTTACGTTTCTTGCTATATATCTATTAATATGTGATGCCGACTATATATTTATATTCTTTTTGCAAATTAGTTTTAAAAATTTTATTTAAAACATCAAAATTTTAACTTTCATAACATGCATAATTTTCTAAAAATTAGGTGTAAATTTTTTTTTTCAAGGAACTATTGGCAAATTTACAGTAAAATTAACTATCTCGTACTCCTTACCCATAGGATTTTGCGTCGTACTTTAGAACGATTGCTTACAAAACGTTAAGTGTGGTTTTAAATATATTAGTGAGCATACACCAAATAATCTCATTAGGTCTGGCTAGAGCGGATATATCGACTATTTCAAATCTGAAATAAATTGATAATGTGTCGATGTCTTTTTTCATAATAATAAAAAACACCAATTTAGAAGAAAGAGTAGTGTAAAATGTTTGAAGTTAGACGAATCAAACAATATCTTACAGAACACATCCAGCTTCCAGCCCTCTTCAATGGCACTGCCAGGAATAAACTGATTTTCTGCTCGACACGAGAGCACCAGGCCGTTGTCTTTGACCCTGGGTGTGAAACGAAGGACACTGGAGCTTGTGCTGACACCCTCTTGCACCTGGTGCTCCTTGGAAGAAACCAGTTGCTCTCCGCTTTTCCACCAGGTGAGCAGAGCTGGCGGTCGAGAGCCACTTGACGAGCAGACCAACTCTACTTCCTGGTCTGCTGACAGTGGTCGCTTCGGCGGTTGAATGGCCACATCCAGAGGTATAACTGAAACAAGAAACAATCGCTTTTGGTTCTTAGCTGCCGTATAATGTTATTGTTCATGAATATTCCTGCACGAGAAACATTTTATTTATGGTTTATAGCACGCCTTACAGAGAATGTAATGCGGAAACGCTAGCCGGAAGCCTGGATTTGTTAATAAATATGCCCGAAGCATTTAGAAGAAAAGGTATTTGATGCGCACAAAGTTTATTCCTATTTGATGTATTTTTTTTGTGCGGAACAAGATCCTGCAGTAAGGTTGTACGCAGAGAAGATTGATTTTTTCCACCTACGCTGAAAAATGAGATTTATTAGGTCTCGTCTCGGCGAATCTTTTTGCTATAACATTCTGATCGTTGCACTGCAGACCAGCAAACGTCAGAGATTGCGTGACTATATGCCTTACGCCATCGAGGATTCGAAAATTATGATACGAGCTCATGTCTTTTCCCGATTCTAATTGATAAAAATAAGTTAGATCGTTTACGTTAATTTTATTTCGTTCTTGGCTGTGCGCTGTCCCCAAATCTTCTGCTGAATACTCAATGAAATATTACACAAGGACTGTGGTAATAATTTCTTTAAGACCGGTGCATGGGTCTGCCTGCGCCTTGTGCAATGCGTGTTGTGCTTGAGTTGTGTTCCATCGCCAATTACTACTATCCTAACTGATAGCTGTAAATAACCCAGGCCGTGGCCTATTATATCCACGCACCTTGCTTTCTGATTCGATGATATGGCGCTCGGGACCTGACACACCGAGGGTTTCTTAAGCTATCAGGGACAATAGACTAATGGTAAGCTGATGTCGGACGAAGAGTACACGTAATATGAGACTCTAAACAGCTATGCGGGGCGCAAGTTCATCTGCTTCATGCGGTGACGTCAGAACACCGAGCTCTGATTGGCTTTGATTGAAAGATAGTGGGTTGACCTTAAGGCAGCTGGCATTGAGGTCTACCCCCTATCCTTCCAACCAGAGCCAATCAAAGCTTGGCGTTCTGACGTCACTGCATGCAGCCCCTGCGCAAGAAGCAGACGAACTTGCACTCAGCATACGTATACATCAACGCGCTTCTCTTGGGAATATTGTTTAACTGTTGTGGCACCAGAAAGAAAACAAAAAAAACAAAAAAAAAAAAGAAACAAGTGACAGCGATGGGTGTCGCGTGAGGCGCGTGAGGCGTCTGGCGCTCGGGATTCGGCGGCCGGGGCTGAAACCGTAAAGTGCGTTTTTTGCCAACTGCCTGGTTTGTCCTTTTATGCAGGCGAGTTGTATACGCACCGAAACCAGCATATTTTGACACACAACGAGAATATTTTTGGTAGGCGCGAAATTTTGTAGCTATGTGAGAAGCCACCAGTAGAGGTGCCACTATGAATCATCAAGGTGCTGCCTTGGTGCTTCATTCGTGTCAGCAGGTTGGCGCTTACTTGGTATGAGTAATATATATAGAAACTTTATAAACGTGTTTAGTAAATGTTTTGGAATTATACTATTGCTCACGGGAGTCTAGGATCGTGCTTCGGTACTCGTCACACTCGAGGTATCGCCAGAATTGCTTCTACAATCGACATAGTCGCTATGTGCGTGACACAACGTAGAGGATTTATTTGGGGCCACAATGTAGGCTGATATTTGCAGTGTGCAATCCAGCTCTGATGTGCATCTCTCAGCGTTGAAATAACACAATTCAGCGCTCCCTTAACGTTCAGTTAGAATTGCATTATGTTTGAATGCAAGAAAATGTGAGGTAAGAAGCATCGCAGAGTTGAAAGATCGCAAATATAGCACAGAGTCAGTGATTCCTCTATTGCTCTGAGTTAGCCCTGTGGTCAATGTATAAACAGGCCTTGTATCTGCTAATTAATGCCAAAAAGTTTCTCTCACGATTCATGTCGAGAGTGATGGAGCGTGACACAGCGACGGTGACGTTGTTGTTGGCTGCTTGACACGTGAGCACCGTAAGAAAGTCGGACCTCTTCAGTTCGCGGATTTTTAGTCGGTTACGTGCTGTGCTTCCGCCGGCGACGACCGTGAAGTTGTCGTCCACGAGGCGCTTGTCTCGCCACCAGGTTACCACGGGGCGAGGCTTACCTGCAAATAATAATAACAAAGAAAAGCCTTCTTCCGAAATGCCGTATCACATATTCTCAAGATCGAGGAAAATTGCGCGATGTAAATTAAACTTATTCTCGCCATTTGTCTATTCCATGCGCCCATTTCGTAAGCAATGGCTCTGAATATTTTTGTACGGCATTCTTTTTCAAAAATGTTGGAAACGTCGGTGTTGCAGGAAATTGATGGCACATGTTTTACGCTCAGCGGAGAAGAGTAGAGTTGTAATGGGTTTTTGTAAGCATTTTTATCCACGTTTGCCGATTCCTTACAATTATTTAACATATTAGGAAGTACTAAAGACCCGTGTAGATGTGAAGTAACATTAAGGTTTATTAATAGTGTGCACGTGCCCATTCAAGTTCACATCGGCACAAACACTAAGAGTGATGGCAAAATAGACCACGTGCAGTCTTCAAGTTTCAGGAAGTGTGCGCGAACACTTGACCACAAACAAGCAAAAAACAACAATATGCAAACAGTTTATAAGTATTATCTTCGTCAAAATACACTGTTAGTCAGTGTTCGTGGGATTCTAATCATGCACATTAAACCACGGAAAACTGCGTGTCCTGTGACCTTTCCTCAGAAACAGGGCACCGTGTACTCGAGTTCGCAGTTGTATACACAACACAATACCCCAACCTACCTCCTTCCACTTCGCAAATGAGCTGAAGGTCGTCCCCTTCGTTGAAGCGTCCCACGAGTCCTTCCAATCTTCTTCCGTCCTCGTCGAGGATAACCGGGTCGCCCGGAGGCACTGCGATAGAAAATGGAAAACGCCGTTGAAAAAAAAAAAAAAAAAAGCAGCAACGCGAGCTTTGTTCGGCAGGACCCTCGGAAAAGAGGGCTTTTTACTCGCGAGTATTCTGCTCACTTCGTGAGAAAACAATGCGCATTTGTAGTATATGGATCTAAATCTTAACACTTCGGGATAGCGCAAAAAAGAAAAAGCTTGTCAAGGATTGCCAACATTGCTAGGAGATCTTTATAAAAAGCAAATAAAGCACTCGGTAATTGGTTAATCTGTTGACGTTACTTGCATGAAAACTTTTCCGTATTTGGCACTATTTTAATTAGAATTTTAGATTCTTGAATAAAGGATCTAAAACTTCCAACCGGGCAGGGGCTGGTATAAGTAGAACTATCAGAAAGGCGCAAAACGGGCGATTACAGGATAAGAGAAAGATTTTCTTGTTCCATTTACGTCCCATTACTTCAATTTCTCTATTTTGAATACTGCTCACTGACCACAAAATTAGTGTATTAATCGGTTTATAAAGAGTTCATTATTTTGTGAAGCGAAAGCATAAATTTCCGCGAGATTTGCTAAGTGAGGAGGGCATGGGAATATCTGAAGATATGTTATGGTATTTAACAAAGCGTTTCAGCATCGCAAATTTAGTACTACGGGAAACTCGGTGGGGAACATGGAGCGGTTTTTCAGAAATTTCGTTTTATGGTATCTTCTTGAATACATGTGCGAGCTGGAGTCTCCCTCCCTAAGGGCGCGTTCGCAGAGCGCACTTGGATTGCTCGAAATATACCAGCGGAAGTCAACATTACTGAGAGTAATAAAAACGTGTCACGTGCGGAACCTTTGGGCTTGCAATTTCTTGATTTTGAATGCTCCGGGTCGTCTCAAATGAGAGCAAAACGGTTTCCAAATGGAGACAATAAATGAAGCATTGCATAAAAATGTGGCAAGTTAAATATCGTATCTTTTTGTTACATAATAATGTATATAAACACAAATGCGATAAGGCAAACATGCGTTGTCATGTTTCAATACGAATATACCGTATTAATGTATAAAATTATAAATATTATGCCATCAATTATGGCATTTTATTTTCTCAATTCGTTTTACTACTTGTTCAGAAAGTATATCAGCGTTAATTCAGGCGGCGTAAGATATATAGTGGGGGGCATTGAGAAATTTGAATGTCAGCGTTTTCCTTGCATTTTTCTATACATACGCGTCAAAGGATGTTCGATTCATTAAATTGAACCTAAAGGTGGAAGCTTACATCAGCGGGAAGCAGTGTAATATTGCCGAACCTATTAGCTTCTGAAATGCCGAAGTCGCAAGCAACACGGCTGTAAAAGAGCGTCGAACCTTCCGAGAAAACTGCCACTAAAAGTGTTCACTGCAAGGCTTTTTGTTTTTTCTTACAGATTACAACTTACACAACTAGTTCATTTTTTATGTTCTGCTCGCTACTATATCTCAATAGGATTGGCCAGATTTTCAATGGCAAAAACGCAAGTAAACAAATCTTACTTCTTTTTTTGCAAATGATAGCGCGATCAATGAATTGTGCGAAGGTTACACTGCGTGTCCCATTCAACAGAAAGAAATAGTTTTATATTAAGTAGAATTGTAAAGGCATTTAAACGCGCGAAGCTGCCAAGATTATTCACAGTACAGTGAGCACTACGAGTAAAGTAATTCCGGAATACGCTGCTGCCTCCTTTCTGACAAGACCCTAAAGCTTAACGTCATAGCCCGTCTTGACGAACGCACTTCACTTTAGCAGTGTTATGACCTTGGTGCTATCCTGACGCAAAATTAAAAATAGAAAACGAAACCACTTGAAATTTATGCAGCCCTTCCTAGTATACAATATTTAACATTTGCCTTGGTACGCGCCAGTCAATTTTCGGGGCTCACGTACGTGCGAGGAATGATTCGCACCATACACAACACACTGTAGTACTGAGGATTAATTGCTATCCCCTGTGGACATTTTCACGTACAACAGAAATCTTGGTTTGACGGTTTATTAACCGTGCTGGGCCACCGGAAAATTAGGCGCAGGCCTGGATTCGAGCATTTGAGCACACCTGCTTCTAAAGCTTGAGCCCGCATCTAACGGTCTGTTTGTAAGATTATATTAATACAGAGAATCTGTAAATACACCCAGAAACAAAGCAGGAAAATTTAAATAACCTGCTTTTTTCCTAAGTGTCGAAGTACTTTTTTTCTAAGACATTCAAACTTGGAATACTTATTTCGTAATTTTGGACAAAACCATGAATAGCCAGCAAATTCAGAATGCGGACCAATGTGCGATGTCCACTGCATGCTAATGAAAATACGTCAACGTAAATCAGCTTTCTCAGTGAAACTGTGAAAAACGTAGCTGTCTTTCTCTCCTTGCAGGCCAAATAATAAAATTTCCTTCTCCGAAATATACGGCTGGCAAATGCACTCTGTTGTCGCTAGGGTCTCAATCTGGTGCTTTCTTATTCCGGTCACGATTCCAAACACGGAGCTTCATTCATATTCCCACGAGACATAAAACCGTACCGACTGAAATGTTACCCAAATGGCCGGCTTGGTTGGCTTGACGGAAATATTTTAAAATGACTTAGAGTACAGCCACGTAGAGTGAACGCGTGGAGCACATCTCACGAGAAAGTCGTGCTATGGCGGAAATCAATTATTTGCAAACCTTTTACCGTTTTTGCTTGTTTATGGCTAGAGTAAAGAAAAATCATTGGTTTTACTTCGAAATATATACTAAATAGGAAGAGCAATAGCCTAAATTATCGTATCTCGCTTCGTAGTTAGTTCTGCCTTTGTTTTATTACTTTTACCTTTAATTTAATTTACGCAAGGAAGTGTAAAGTAGACGCGAAGAATTCTTTCTTTTGTTTGAGTTGCGGTTTAATTTATTTTTAATCTGGGGTAAATTCATAATGATGTGGTGACTTGTTAGGACAACATTCACACCGTATTTCAATGTCAAGATATTTTAAGATAAAAAAGATAGACCTGATACATCTTAATTCAAGATATGTCCTTGCAAATCGAACTTTAACAAAAAGAATTCGAAGACATTCATTTCATCTATTTGCATCTTAAGAGCCCGTGAACTGCAGGGGTGTTTAAGATTTATACAATACAAGAATGCAAATACTTGAAAGTAAACATATTCGACAGATACCTGCCTGGTTGGGTGAGAGTTAAAGTCTGAAAATGTATCTCCAACCAAAAATAAAAAGGCAGCCCGACGTTTCAAAACCAACACGGTTTCTTCTTCAGGGGTGACTGAAGGCACGCGGGAACAGCAGCAGCTCCCAACCTCTTCGTCTTCGAAAAAATAAAAAAAAGACAAAAAAAAAATTAGAAAAGAGAATAGAAAAAATTTAAAAGGGGAAGTTAGAAAATTGAAAAAATTTTAAAATAACTTGTTTGTTATGAAGATGGTCGTCTCTTCAGCTTTTCCGTTAGGTCACGGAGGCTATGCACGTATACAGAGAGAAGAGCGCCCAGCGACCTGTTTAGGTTTCCTGGCGTGTGTTGGATTTGCCACGATTCCAAGAAAAGTCTTCTTCGAAAATTGGGCTCTCTGTCCACTACGTGCGCATTCGCGAAGTCAATGCGATGGTCTAGGGTATCGCAATGTTCGCCGATGGCGCTGCGCTCACTGTCAAACTTCCGCACGTCGTTCTTGTGTTGGCGGATACGCTCGGGAAAGTTCTTCGTCTCGCCGATGTAGGTTGGGGGGCACTCTGCGCAAGGAATGGTGTAAACCACGCCCTGTGCTTTTTCCTTTGGCCGACGGTCTTTCGGTCTTGGCATAAACCTTCCCAGTGTGGTTTTTTTGAAGACGAAGAGGTTGGGAGCTGCAGCTGTGTCTGCGTGCCTTCAGTCACCCCTGAAGAAGAAACCGTGTTGGTTTTGAAACGTCGGGTTGCCTTTCAATTTTTGGTTGGAGATATATTTTCAGACTTCAAGAACGCAAATACATAAAAAACACAAAAGGAATCTAAACACTTAATATACCCCCCAGGGCTGCTTATAAATACACAAATCCTTAAACAAGTAAGAAGAATGACGTTTAATACATTATAGCAAATGATTCGGGTCCAGAGTTGTGACAATCCATGATAAAAGGTTGTTCGTAAGACACCGTTGTGTTGCCATGTCTATTATAATTATTTACAAATAAAGGTTAAATTTTTTAAGAAGCTTTACAAGTGAACGTCAATGTAAAATGTCTAGTCGCTAGAAAGGTCGTCGCTACTTCCCAGTTTTAGTCACATGACGTCCTTCTAATATAAAGGTTACACGTTCCGAGCCCGTAAATACTGACGGTGATGAAACAAATACTAAAATTCCTCGTGATAATTTCACTCAATTCTATAAAAACCGATTTTATTTTGAATATGTATTCGTCCGTAACATTCTTCGCGAAGGCAAGTCATTGATCAACAAAATGAATAACAGATATCTTGGGTTTTTTTATTTTTGCGCGCTTAATTCAAGACGGAAAAAAAAAATGACGTCGCCCTATGCGTTTGAGTAATATTTGGCTTTTTTTTGTTATTTGTCGCATCTGCTATATACCTTGTCCGTGTATCGAGGTTTGAATTGTGATGTTGTATAAAATTTCGTTTCAAAATATAGAAAATTTACCAAAGTAGCCAAATATTTACCAAATATTTCACGCAATTTTATGGTTAATTGTGGGTAGTGTGAGCTGAACATGTTCTATAAAATGAAGAATGTTTACAATACCTGAGTGACTAATTGAACCTTAGCTTGTTTTCTACTGGCCTAAGAGCTTTTATAGAGCAAGGCCAACCTTTGATGCGTCTAGTTTGTATTAACTGCGACGTTTAACTTAGCAATACACACGAAGTTGCATTCAATTCAGGCATCAAATGAGACCAGAAAAGTTGACGTATTAATCGCTACTAAATGACCTTTTCTAAACGTCCATAGCACTTTTCTTCGGTTAAAATGTA